TTAAGAGAACCGAACTGATTTTCCACAAATCTCCTGAAAAACGGATCTTTGAAATTTTTCCAAAGTTCGTTTTTGCGTATGAAAGCATTGCTTCAGGTTTTGACTAGCGAATGATGAAAATCACAAGTCTCTGTCTTTTATTCCTTTTAAGTTATTCGAAAAATAATCACTGGCCTTCTGTCTTGGCACCGATAGTAGTGCAACAAACATCAAAGAAGAAAAAAAAACGAACGGAATATTCACATAGTAGATATTACCAATCCTGCTATCGAAGACTGTTGGCAAAAAAGGGAAAATCAAACTAACTTTCTTAATCTGAAAGATGAAAACGTTTGTTTTACTTAGCTCAGCAAATCCGTTTTCGACAAAGTACTGATTTTCCACACGAAAAAAATTTTTTTTCCAGACCGGCAGGTCGATCGACCGATCAAAAATTTCTGACCGGACCGGCCAGTTGCTGAGACCGGTTACATCTCTGGTAGGGGTGACCGCAGATGCTCTGCAGTAATAAGCAGCTTTCGAAAATAAAAAATAATCAAACATTACCCTATTCATTTATCAAACTTGAAATCTTTCTCAGCTTCTTTTGATTCGACCATTAATGTAGAAAATTATCATCACACATTCCGCTGAGTATTTCTGCTATAAAAAATAGAAATTAAGTATTTTTAATCACTTATTCGATTTTAAGAATATTTTAAGTTCGTTTTTGGGTGCGCTATGTAATGTCGATGAGCTCAATCTACCTGTGATGTTCACAAATCTTCGAAATATTTAGTTTCCAACATCTGGGATTAATAGCCTAGTCAAGACCTTGGATTGGTTCTTTTTCATCAGAGAAATATGTTTAACGTAGAAAAAAGGTTAAAAAGACTTGAAGAGGAAACTTTATTCACGAATAACATGAATTCGAAATTGAAAGAACTTCAAAAATCCGAAAATTTTTTATCTTTTACATATTAGCACCACCTCCATCTCATCAAAAGTGAACAGAAACCGAGAAAAACCTTAATGAAGACTGTGGAGGATAGTAAAACATAAAATTTGGCAACCTTTTGTACAGAGCAGATCCTGAAATTTCAAGAACTGTGTCTAGAAGTTCTTAGTAATGGTGACACATTATTTTTTACTGTGATACCCTTCGCAAAAAATATTTTCGTTAATACTTCAAGCGGTAAACCAGAAGAGATTAGAAAAGAATTGATGAAGCACACAACGGCTGTAAAAAGAAATCTGCATTCTTATTTTTATACTCTGTTCAAGTTTAAATAAAAATGATTTTTACAGCAATTTTATACTTTATCAATTTTTACTTTCTACAATCTTCATACCATGTCTTATTTCAGATTCCTGTATTAATACGACTAAGTAAACGAACAATTAACCGTTAAAGATGCTGTTTCTATCTAATCCTCTATGCTCAGCAATTGATCATGCAAAGCAAACTTGAAACATGTATACCTTTGTTTAGACTTGAAGAAAATTTTTTTGTTATTAGCAATCGTTAGCTTCTATAGTGTCTGCTTAGACTGGAAAAAAAGTTGCTTGAAAAAAATTTTGATTTAGCGCTGTGTTACTTTCTTGTAGCAGTTATGATGATATCCTTTGGAAGGGACAACCTAGCTCAAAGGATTAAAAAATGTATACCATGTCCTCGTACGCTCTCTATTGAAACAAAGAAATAAAATTGTTACTAACTAATACCTGAGGAAATGGTAGATCTTTTTCTTTGTAAAATGCAATCTGTCATTCAAATTCTTCTAGAAGATACCGGAAATAACTACGTCAACTAAAACATATTTATCATCGTTCTACCTTGTTTGAGACGTAGTACAAGTTTATATGCTATAGATTGTAACGTTTGATCAAATACAATTACTCTTCATTGATTCATATAAATCAGTTACTATTCCACACTTCAGACAACTAGTGTTATGTACTTCGTCCTTGTCTTCTCTCGACAATGGCGAAGAAGACAAAACGTATGTAGACATTCTGGGATAGTAGCAGCATCGATCAAATAGCATTTGTACAGCATACATGAGACATAAACATTGACATCTTTATAACGAAAATTTTTCTCTTGCATCTGAAAAATTTAAGAAAGTATGACGATTGACGTACAAGATTACGGAGAAACAATGAAATATTTAACTATTAGTTTTTGCATACGCTATCAAAATCTTTTATCACCTATTTTTTGTGAGAATGAGACGACGGAATTTTACTCGTTTATAACATACATTAATTTAAACGACAAAAGAAATGAATGAAATTAAAAGTAAATTGCGTTTTTTAAAATAAACTGAGCCGTCATTTTATAATTTACTTGTTATTGAGATGACGTTTTAATTATGAACGATTGCATCATTTTGAAAAACTCGAACTTTTATAACGGAAATGGATGCATTCGCTTTTCAAAATCGTACAAACCATTTTTTATTTCGTCTTCTTTCATTAAAAAAAACGAAGTTTCATATAAGAAAAACAATTTTTTTGCCGCTAATCCAGCAAAAGTCATTCACATTCTCAAATTATATAGTGTTTCTCATACAAATTGATTGATAACAATACGACACAAAACTGGCTTTATTTAATAAATGAACTAACAACGACCAAAAAACAACGTCAATAACAACAATTCAACAAAGAAAAAAGGGCCGAATCAAGAAAACAATGAAAATTTGATAAAACAAGATTTAGATTAGTTTTTTTTCAAAACAATTATATTTCTTCTTTTATTTTGTATATTTTCCCCAAATGTGAAGCATAAAAACACTTGCTATAAATATTAAACTCATAACCAACACTGGAACAGGGCCGACTTTAAGTCCTGTAAAATAGCAATCAGCGGTCAAAAAAATACGTAAGCTCTTTTTTTAAGGTTACAAACCGGGTGAATCTTCTGTATAAAAGCGCCATACGCCAGCTCCACTGTTGCCAGCACCTGGACGACTTCTTGTACTAACCGTTGATGTTGCTTTTCGTTGACGTAATCCGGGTCCACCCGATGCACGAGGACCGGCCGATTTTGAACCAGAATCTCCTTTACCAACCTACAAAAAGAACAGAGAGACACATAAGTATCAGACTATGAAAGACGTATTAACGCTTACGCTTGTTGCACTTGATGGAGCAGGCATTTTTTAGAAACTTGAGAAAATTTAAAAATAAATAAGTGCAAAATAAATTATGTAAAAGATCTTATAGTAATCTAAAAGCAATTTACAGAAAGGTTATCAAAATGGCATATCAACTTCTTTAGGATAGTTAAACATGTACACTTGAGCTAAGATAAGTTTAAGTATAAGTTGCGAGCATATAAACTTGTAATCCACATGAAGAAACTGTGCAAGTAAACAGATTAGAGTTCAACAAACCTTAGCTAAACTAGAATTATTATTTTTGAAAAGACTAAACATATAAAAGCAAAGTCATCAGAAGAAAACTTAGAACTACAGGAATAGACTATCGTATACGTGCGTCTGTTATTTGTTTTCGGTCCACGTGTTTGTAGACGTAATCACCAATCTAAAAACGACTTTTTTCTGTCAAATGTTCAAGTAGTCTTCGTGTCAAACATCTGATAAAATTACTTATGGAAACTAGCAGTGCTCATAAAAGTCTGCATAAAAATTAAAATTCTAACGCAGATGTCGCAGTGTACTGAAAAGGCACGACAGATAGAATACGGACTGCTGTAACCCCAAAAAGAGATCGACGCTTTAGAAGAAATTGATAAGAACGTTGAAGAACATCATATAAGATGTACAGATAACCAGGTTACATTAGATGTGAATACAGGTGCGAGTCGCTAGTATCAATTCCAGTTTAGATTCGTTCGTTGTGCTCTGTGATTAAACGTCTAGCTTTCTTACTGTGTGTACCCTGATCTTCTAATTCTTTAACACATTTAATCAAAGATGATGTATTGAGTGGTGTGAATAAACTAGTGACAGCATGTCTCGGTTATTCATTTTCAGATATTTATTATTCCTGTTAATAATTTTTTTGTATAACGAAAACTATTTTTCACTCAACCAACAAAAAATGATACTTTTCATAAATATTTTATATCACCAAAAAGATAATCATAAAAACAGTAACAACAATTACAATTCTATTAAGAAAAGATGAAGAAATATATCACTGTGCAGTATAAAAGAGAATTTAACAATAGAAAATACACAACAAAAATATAAAGTAAAACGTGCAGTTACACTTTCCTATAGAGAATGTCGAAGCAACAAGGAGAGAAAAAATAATCACAAACACAAATAATAATGAGAGACAAAAATGTACTTCCATTTACAATATTATTATGTTTTAACTACACCTTTTTGCATGTCATGCAAAAAGCCTTGTCTCACGATAAAAAAGATTCAGTCAGATTGAATCTTTTTTATCGTGAGACAAGGCCTTTTCTTGCATAAGTGAAAATACTCACGTTGTTCAAGTGTATTGTACAAATAGCGGACACGATTAAAAACGTACAAATACACTCCATCACTGAAGATGTTAGTCGATAGTTTAGACACCAACAAGGTGTAAACATATATAACTGTAACATTAAACTTATGCATGCAAAAACGTCTGGTGAAAACATACTATACCATTAAAATATTTCTCAAATAGAGAAGAAACGAAGTTCATTAATCATTTTACAGCTTGAACAAGACAACTCCTTTCTGTTCTTTGAGACAGTGAATAAAATAAAATAAGGAACGAACTCTTAATGCTAAAGCGTCATTTTCTAATAGCTTTTTTAAAAATAAAATTTAAAAATATAACGGTGATGTTTTATTATAACTATTGTTCTGTTTTTATAACAAGAAAATAACGGAGCAAGAGAGCAAAAACATTTGCAATGGCTAAAACATTTTAGACTTTATCTGTCTGATGTACTAATTGCACTATATAAATCAAATGGTCAAAATATAATAACCTAATGCTTGTAGAAAAAATAAAATGGAAGAATTATAACGTGGTTTTATTTTTAATTAACTTGCTTTGCCGAGTTCTAACTTTTTGAGCAATAAACAACTACTACGATAAACAAATGCATCTAATAAACTCGCCACGGTAAAAACGCCACCAATTATTGCGCAAACGCTTGTTATAAAATGTGCGAATGATCGTCGTTGTTCGATTAATTTAACCATCATTGGTGAAATTTCATATGTAACAAAAAAACCAGGTAACATATGATCCGAAGCGTCTAACAATTTTTGAATATTTTTACGATGTTTGGTGACTGAATATTGATTCGTCATTATTTGTGTATTATTCAGATAAACATAAGAAGTTGGAACGATTTTAACATAATAATGGAACAAGACACCACCTCCATCATTCGAATTACTTGTTATTTGGCTTGTATTTGATAATGGATTGATTTGTTGATGATATTTTTGACCAAAGCTTAATTCATGTATATTATGTGATGTATTTAACATATTTAATCTGATATTTTTTAAGGAATGAACATGAACATGGTGTTGTTGGTAACTCATTCCTGGTGCTATATGAAAATTTCCTAAATAGAATAAAAAACCCAGTGAAGACTTGCACTATCAGATATCCTATCGAATTATAAAACTGATTTTTGTCTTTATAAACTCCTCACTTGTTTAATTCAGAAGAATACTTACCAGCCACTTTATTAACTTCCAAAAATCCGTGAACACGACAACCTTCATTCATCTTTGTTAAGTTATCGCTATCTAAACTAGCCATACCAACAGCACGTCCTTCTCGTAAGCACTGTGCGACAGTTGATGGATCAAATGCCCAGCCTTTGATTCTATAAGCTGTTTTCACATCATCGCACGTTGGACAACATTGTTGATGAGGCGTTTCTGCTCCGTAACATGTTTCACATTCTGGCAATGTTGTTAGTGTTTCAACTTGACGTTTTTGTATGTCATGTGATAAATCATCTGCGATTGTTGTATTGGGTTGCTTTAATTTTGGTAAAGGCTCCAGAGACGCTTTCATTGGTTGAGAATTTAGCGGTTGACCATCTAAATCCAATCGTGTTTTAAATAAGTTATGTACAATATCTGTTTGAGTTTCTCCTGACACATCCATAGCATCAACAGTCAAATAACTACACGGTAAAACGGGAAATACAATGTCTAGAGTAATATTCATTTTTTCGCCACGACTTGTGTCAACAAATAATACTTGAGAAACTTCTGTTGTTAAATAGTAACGTAGTTCATAAAAAAATAATAGAATAATAACTATTGTACTAATAATAGTGATGAGACCGCCGGATGATGTCTTCAAACGAAAATCGTCTAAAACACAGTAAGATAAATCATTATCAATCAACTGGAAGAACTATGGATAGTTTAATCTTTAGATTTTCTTACCTAAAGTTTTTGCATATGCATCAAAGGATTTGAGTCTATTCAAATCCATCCTTGCACTCAAGGACGACGAAGAAGTCGCCATATTTGAGAGTTTTAATAAAACGAAATCATCATTGTTCCTACAACAAAAAAGAATTAGTTACTAAATAAGAATATCATAGAAAATTTATGCCGAAAAAAATGACGAAATGCCATATGCCAGCCAACTTCCTTTCGTCTAACTCCATCCACGTCAAGAGATCTATGACAAAATAGCTGTTTTTCTCCGTATTCTCGAGAAATACAAAAGGATGACCAGAAAAACAAAATACATTGCAGTTTACTGGAAAGCTGAGTTCGCGTGTTCGAATCTGTACAAAACTGATTTTGTTTTTTTGATAGTTTTAGTTTTTAATACTGTAATTGGTTTTTTTCCGGTTGTATTCTGGAAGAATAAAGTTTATGTTATATCAACAACATATATGTTGGGTAGAAATTCGACATTATATCCATGATGAAAATTGAAACCGTTCAGATTTTGGTTGCACCAGTAAAGACTTTCATCGTCTCATAAGTGAACATTAGCACAATCACTATTATATTTTCTACTTCATTTCAGGAAAGACAATACATTTGTACTTGAGAACGTTGGTTACTAGTGTTTCTAATAGCAAAGCTTACTCACTGTATCAAGGCGTACATACCTTCGGAATTTAAAAATACGTTCTGTTTTACACTTAGCTATCGTAAAGAGCGATAGGAAAGATGAATTTTTTCTTGTTATACAGTGATGTTTTTCTCTATTTGTAATTGCCTAGGAAAACAATCGGTATAAAGAAAGTTTCTATTTTTTTCCTCTAACTACTGATGTCTAATTGATGCTTTTCTTTTTTAGATTTGAAACATGTTCGCTTTGCAGAAAAAATACAGAGAGCTCAGTGGATAAATTCTGTTAGCAACGCTATTGATTACTCAGATGTTGACAGATATATTTTTCTATGTTCTCCTTTATTAAAGCAGAGATCGACACAGAAAATAAGATGAGCAATGTGTAGAAATAAACGCTGACTAGCGTCATAAATGCTGGAAAAGCACGTGCATAGGATTAGTCGAGCGACTTCCTCTCCCTGGTAGTTAAAGTACATCAAGAGCAAAACTCCATAATCAATAAATATAATTTTTTGTTTTGTCACCTCGATTGTACTGATTTGCTCCAACAGTAACCGCTTGACAAATTAATATTCTAAACGTATTAATATCCCGTAAATAATATTCCATACTTTACAAAGTAGAAACCTGCGTTTTGATTGACGCCAAAATTTTCACTAGCGCATTACCGTAGCAGAAGAAAAAGACAGCGGTGAAAGTGACATCTTCCGTGTAATCAACGTGTGGCTTCTAAAAACTTTATTTAAGTAGTATTTTAACTTTAATAAACGTATAAATACAAAACTCTTAAATATATTCAATTTCTTCCTTTTCGAACAGTTAGATTAGTGCTCTGTATAGTTTTCTTAGTTACGGCAAATTTGTTACCAATTATTCTTTAGCCCTCATACTATCAGCAGCTAATATTTATGGCTAAAAGAAGTGAGCAAAGAAGTTAGTGATTGCTTGCACCCCAAGTTTTTTGCGAAAAGAATATACACATAAATAGATTTCCGAACGATCTCCATTAGTCACTTTTACTAAAAAAAATTATTTTTGGTTTTCTAGAGACGGCTTATCAGCATGCGTAAGACAATACTCTGTACGATGCAAATCTTGTAGACAATCTTTGTATGCTTCACTAAATAGATTAAATAAAATCTACTGTTATTATTTTCAACAGACAAAAATATAGTTACACATTTTTAAATACATTTTAAATAAAATCTAGAGGGATTTTAAAACCCGTTAAGGTTAGCATCTTTTCCGTTTTCATCTTCTGTGAATGGTTTTTCTCTGAAAACGATATATTCTTCTTTTTTTATTCAACTATTGCTGATTGGAATAATCTCCCAGAGTTAGTTATTCGTCTTTCTTCCTTAATGTCTTTCAAAATAGCTTTACTTCAATATCTCTTCCAGTGAAACGTTTGTCAGTTAAGAAAATCGTGTTACTTTCTTTCTTTCCGCTTTTTACCTGCATTTATATTTGTTCTCTTTTGCTTGTTTTTTTTAAAATATTTTTTTACTAATTCTGGTTCTAACCTTAGTTGTCTTCTTTATTTTGTTATTTTTTATTACGCTTTTGGTGTTGTTTGGCTTGAGTCATTATTATTACAGGTCGGGGACCTTTGATGACCCTCTCACTTTTCGTGAATAAAACAGTCTTAGTCTTAGTCCTGGTTAGATTTCTACCTAGTTTCGTTCATCACGTACAATTCTCTAGAGAGACACTCAAATTAATATTAAATTGTATTCTAGAACTGTTCTTCAGCATTAAATACGTGAAATGGATAACGAAGTATTAATTACAAATCAACCTATTGTGTGTGATAATGGCTCAGGAGTAATCAAAGCAGGTTTTGCTGGCGATCCAATTCCGAAAACCATCTTTCCGAATTAGTAAGATAGCTTAAGAGTTGAACTATTTCCACTAAGATGATAATTATTGTTTACTCTTCATAGCGTTGGAAGACCGAAACATGTTCGTGTAATGGCTGGTGGTCTCGAAGGGGATACCTTTATTGGACCAAAAGCTGAGGTAGCTAAGTCTTATCCATTGTCACTTGTATTGATAGATTTCTGATCCATTATAAAACGTTTGTTTGTCTATTTAGGAGTATCGTGGACTATTGCATATCTCATATCCAATGGAGCATGGAATCGTACAGGACTGGAATGATATGGAACGAATTTGGACGTACATTTACTCCAAAGATCAACTACGTTCTGCTTCAGAAGAAGTAAGAGAAAAGAAAAGTTTGGATTTGATAATATTTGTCCTTTTCTTTATTGACCTTTTTTATTGTTATTTTTTTGCTTTATGTCACACTTTTATTTTAGCACCCTGTTTTATTAACCGAAGCGCCATTGAATTCTCGTAGGAATCGCGAACGAGCTGCTGAAATATTTTTTGAAACATTCAATGTGCCCGCATTCTTTGTGTCGATGCAAGCAATTTTGAGTTTGTACGTTCATCATTTTCTTAGAGTTTATTAATGCTATTATTTCTATTTTCTTTATATATTAGATACGCTAGTGGACGAACTACCGGTGTAGTTCTCGATTCAGGAGATGGTGTTACGCATTCTGTACCAATTTATGAAGGTATGATGAGATCTGTGTTTAGGTATGCACCAGTTACAGTTTTTTACCAGTTAACTGTAACTGTGAAAACTGTAACTGTCATAACAGTGTAACTGTTATAACTGTAACTGTCGTAACTGTATAACTGTCATAACTGTAACTGTCAAAACTGTAGACAAATATTCTAGAGTGAATTAGTCTCCTACGATTTGCATACATTTTAAGGATGCCTCTGTTCTTAAAATGTCTCGAAATCGTAGAAGACTAATTCACTCTAGAATATTTGTCTACAGTTATGAGCAGTTACAGTTTTGACAGTTACAGTTATGACAGTTACAGTTTTACAGTTATACAGTTACGACAGTTACAGTTATAACAGTTACACAGTTACAGTTTTACAGTTTTACAGTTAACTGTAACTGGTGCATGCCTATCTGTGTTATAAACATTGTCAATCAATTTAACAGAACGTTTTGAATGTTTTTTTTTCAGGCTTTGCCATGCCTCATAGTATACTACGTAATGATATTGCTGGTCGCGATGTTACTAATTATTTAAAACTTTTGTTAAGAAAAGAAGGCTATACATTTAAAACTACAGCCGAATTTGAAATTGTTAAAAGTATTAAAGAGGTATGTTTGATTTTGTTTTAATCTCGTTTATTGATGTAAAAGTAGAAAATCCAAAAGATACAAGCCACAAAAGCGGATCGAGGATCTATATACATGTGATCACCGTAAAAAAAAAAGAAGAAACAAACACTTAACTGTTATAGATTCGCTGACCCATACTAAATAGTACAAGAGGAAAAATGAGAGAAGAAGCGAGAAAAAGAAAAGAAATATTATAAATAAATAAGTATATAAATAAGTAAGCATAAAATGTGAGTTGTGTTGTGTGTTGGTACTGCAGATGTGTAGGTCGAATGAATCAAACAGAAGTAGAGAATCTTCCTGTATCAGCAATATAGTTTATGACAAACTTGACAATAACTCCAACTGTTACTTTATCAAACAGTACTCGTAATAGAAGTGATTAAAGATCCGGTTTAACATCTGGAATCCTGTTAGAGAACTGCGTCGTTAGGTTTTCTCTCTCCTTGTTGTAATTGGGACACTCAAAAAAGAAATGGTAAACAGTCTCTTTTATTAGACTATTACATTCACAAGATGGATCATGCACGAGACCTTTATCGAATAAGTCACTATTCAGTTGAGAAAATCCGATTCTAAGGCGACAGTAGTGAATATCAATATCTCTTCGACTGATTAAAGGTAATTTTGAATTTGATTTTGGTGGTATCAACCGATTTTTAAATTTGATGTTTGATTTTGCTCTTACTTTTCACATATATGTGAAAATATGAAGTTTTTTTAGAGAGTATGTTTATTATCTCCAAATGTTCAAAAAGATGATACGACACAAGCAGATAAATCACAGTTTACTTTGCCGGATGGAACATCAATTGAGGTTTGTAATTTTTTCATTTCTTAAAAATAGATTTTATAATAAATAACTTTTTTTCTAAGCTTGGCTCAAGTAAATATCGTGCTCCCGAAGTATTGTTTAGTCCAGAATTGATTGGCGAAGAGTGCGAAGGAGTTCATGAAATATTATCAGGATCTATTCAACGTTCAGATATGGATTTACGTCGTATACTCTATCAAAATATTGTACTTTCTGGTGGTTCAACATTGTTTCGAGGTATATATTTCTAGAATATCTAAGATCTTAATTTTTTTTTGGTCTTATTTTTTTGTCTTCAAAGGTTTTGGTGATCGATTACTCGGTGAACTGAAACGTATTGCACCAAAAGAAGTTAAAATAAAAATTTCGGCACCACGTGAAAGAGTGTATTCAACATGGATTGGGTATGTAATAGATACAAAGATTTACAGAATAAATTAAACTATGATTCCTCTTTTTGTTTGTTATTTTTAGAGGATCTATACTGGCATCTTTGGATACATTCAAAAAAATTTGGATAACAAAACGGGAATACGACAATGAAGGCGCAAAAGTGGTTCATCGAAAAACATTTTAAACGTCTTATTATAACCTGTAAAAAATGAAACAGTTGGTTTTTGTATTTTCCTAGTTTTGGTTTAACATATCTAATACAAATGTATTACGGTTATGTCAATAGAAAGGAGAAAAAGGTCAAATCGATTGTATGGGATTTTATTTTACACTCTAGTCGTTCTAGCAAAGAGGATTATATACTACAACATTCCTCTACAATAAAGAAAAGCAATCTTCTTTCCATGGAAAATAGTTTTCATATAACTTCTTTTTTTGCTTAGTTTTTGTGTACATGATTGCCTTAAGTTTATTGATTGTATTGTTATCTTTTCTTTTTTTTTGTCTAACCCATACATTTTCACTATACTAATGCTCATTTTTATTTTATAAATAGCCCTCCTTTTATCAGATACTCTCTCATAATTCGAACAAAAACTCATAGTTTTTTCTTGGCTCTAGGTGTAATTTGTTTCATGATCGAAGTTTATTTTTTAACATGTAGTGCAAAGAATCAATCGGGTTTTTTCTGTTCAAAACAGTAATCCTTTTTGTTTATTTTATGGTAAGGCTTACTTTTTTTGTCGAGATGAGAATTGGTAAGTGGTAAGTGTTTATTTATTCGGTTTTTATGTGTGTAATGGAGGCAAAAAAAAAAATTTTTGTTTTTTTCTAAAATAAATTTGTGCTTGTTGTTTCATACGATTTCGCAGAATTGGATCGCTAGTTTTTACTTTCAGTTTTTTTTTTGTTATGTATTTTTGGTTTTTGTTATGGAATTATATTTTGAAAAATTAAAACTAAACGATTGTGAACTTTTTATCTCTTTTAGAAAATGTTGTTACTGATCTATGTGTAATGAATTGAAAATTGGTCCGTTCTCCGTAGTTCACGAGATTCTAGTCTTTCTCATCGAATCGATACAACCGGTACTTCTCTCTCTCTCTCTTTTTCCCCTAATTCATGTTATGTAAACTTCTACTGTAGTGAACAGGGACACGAACCATACGTAATTGAAAAAGCATTGAGAAAGAGTGTTAGAAAAAAATACGTTTTTACAACGATAAGTTAAGGTAACAATAGAATCACAGTAATACATTCTTTTTTTTTCTTTGGTTACAATTTGAACTCGTAGACATAATCTATTATTTATATTCAGATGTGTTTTGAGTATTATCGAAGGGTGATTGATAAAGAATGGATAATTAAAATAAATGGTGTCTTATAATTCAAATAATGGTGAATGCAAAATTGACACAACGTCGACGACAAGTAGAAAATAAACGTTCATCAAGCCATCAAGAAAATACGACAAATGGTGATAAAATAGCAGCCGCCGTTGCCGCTGCTCGAAGTACACGTCGACGTACAACACCACATTCGTCGCATAGATCACGTTTTGATTATTTATTAAAATATTTTTTTAAAAAAAAATCATTAATTTCCATTTCATCTTACATTCCAATTATTTTCATATTCCTCATTTGTTTAGCAGTTATTTATTTTGTTAGCATTTTATTTATTAATAGTCAAAAATATGAGTATACAAATGTTCCATTAAAATTACCAAAATTAGTCAATGTTAATGATACAGCACCAGAAAAAAATCCAGAACGATTTTGGGGAACATATAGGTTTGTTTTACTCAAATCTATTTTAATTTTAATTCTTCAACAATAATTTCTATTCTAGATCGAATTTATATTTTGGTGTTAAACATCGTAGTCCCCAAAGTTTAAGTGGAGGTCTCATGTGGTTTGATTCTAAAAAAATACACCAATCAAACGATCATTTTTTGAGGTAAAAATAAATATTCAATTTTTACTTATTATTCTTAACTACATTATGTTTTCTAGACATTGGTGTGATCAAAATGATCGTCTTCCATTCTATGGCTGGACTTATCATGACGGTGAAAAATTTGCTATTGAACAGATTCAAGATGATAATTTTCTTTTACAAGTAGAATGGGTAAAACATTTGGGTGGTCAACATGGTGGTGATTGGACAACTCGAGTAAATGTGATACCACAGGTACTTTTATTTCACAAAAAAAAAGAAATAAAAAACCATTGTCTCAAACGATTTTGAATTAAAATGAAAATGTTTTGTTGTACATATCTTAATTTATAAATTTTTTTATTTATTTTAGGTTAACAAAACAGACTCAATGTCATTATTTTTCTATTTTCATCATGATCTACCATGGATGGATGAAATTATTACATCGAAAAAATCTAATGATGAACAATATCGTGTAACAACTGTTCGTGGTCAAACCAATGAACTTGATGCATTTACAATTAAATTTAAAATTCCATCAGGAAAAGAATCACAGATTCCACTAATACATACGTGGACCGATCGTTTACCCATTCATAATGTACATGAAATAATTAAAAGAAAATTAGTACCATATGACACTTCTTCATCATCATCTACTATGAAAAAACAACAGCAATACAATCATTATTATGTTTTACCTGATCAAGAAGTCAAATATTTTGAGCATAATTTTTTTATTTTACAAGTAACATTGACACAATCAATTGTAGAACCATTTACATTTGATATTATTTATGAATCTGACTCAGTAAATCGTCAAAATGAATTGAGTGGCGTATATTTTAATGAACAAATAGTACAATTACAAAAACAATTTGATGAACGTTTTGAATCGATATTTCAATTAAAAACAAAACAAAATATGGATACAAAAAAAATTAATTTTGCACGATCAACATTTTCTAATCTACTTGGTGGTGTTTCTTATTTTACGGGTAAGAAAGACATTTACAAGAATAATTATTCGAAAATGAAAATAAAAAACAGAAGTTTAGGAGAAGAAATAATTTTTTAAAAATCAATTTATTGAACTTACGAGGGAACTACCCCAAGTGTTAATCACAGATGCTAACGAGAGGTATCCCAATCGACAGAGCTCGACGAGCTGATTCTAGTGGCATAAAGCATTTTTCCAAATGTACGTTTCTTGAAGACCCAGTTTTCTAGAAAACCAGTTTTTCAGAACTTTAAAAAATAACCAAAACATTTTTAAATAAGATATAATTGTAGCGCGCACATTTCTGATTAAAATGAGACATTCCCCAGCTCTACATGACGTTTATTTGCAAAGTTATATAATTTACAAGCAAAGCCCTGAAATAATTTCTTCTTATTTCTGTAGCTTTGAGCCGGCAATGAACATTTAGGGCTTTTCTTGTAAATTCTATAACTTTGCAAATAAACGTCATGTAGAGCTGGGGAATGTCTCATTTTAATCAGAAATGTGCGCGCTACAATTATATCTTATTTAAAAAT